GGGGGGGGGGGGGTGGGGGGTGGCACACACACCGATAGGGGGGTGCTGGGAGCGGAGATCCGAGTGAATTAGAAAAAAGTGCTACACCCCCTCCCTCTCTCCTCCTGCCCGCCCCCACCCCACCCCCACCCCAACACATTTTTTTTTCTCCTCTCTCTAAAGAGATCACAAGGAAGTCTTGGTTTAAAAAGAAACAGAAACATACACAGGGGGTTGGTGAATGGTGCCGACCGCGGCCATCGCAGTAGGAGGCTATTTTTTTTGGGGGGGGTGAGTAGCGTCCATGGAGTTACTTTGCGCCCACTCCTAGCGGCACCGGCGCAGGGCGTGGAGGGCTGACCGTCCCCAGCAGGGGTGCGGGGTTTGAGGAGGGGGGGACGCCGCGGGCCGGGCCGCCTCCCTCGCCACGACCCCGGATGGATGCGCGCCCCCCGTCCTCCCGCGCCGGCCCCAGGAGCTCCTGGCTTCGGGAGCATCCTTCCCGCGCCGGCCCCCGCTGCGGCGCGTAGCCGAGGGCAGCGCCCCTCGGGAGGGCACCGTGGAGCAAGGTAAGCAAGCCCCCGGCGGATGGGCCCTGCGTATCTCCACGGCATTATTTTGTGGTTTTTTTTTTTTTTTTCAACAGATCTGCCAGTGCTCCTCGCTCCCTCTCTCTCTCTTGCTCGCTCGCTCCCTCTCTCTCTTGCTGGCTGCCTGTTCTAGGAAGCCAGCGCGGGGGGTGGGGGGGATGCACAGCACTGGGGAGAGATTGCGCATGTTGGTCAGTCGTGTTTTAAAGAGTACAGTGCGGGGAGGCTGAGAGGGGCGCATGCAACAACTTTTGGAAGGGTGAGCCTGGCGACCTTCTTTATTAATGACTGCGGCAAAGCGCCCCTGGGCCGGCGAAGGGGCGGGGGCGCACTGGGGCTGCAACTTGCTCCGCGGGCTCCGGCCGGCCCGTGGGGCTGCGGCGCGACCTGGGTGTGCGGGGGGAGGGGGGACTTGCGTGGCCGGGGGACCCGGACTCGGGAAACCCGGACTATCTGCCCTCCTGCCTTCCCGAGTTTCATTTTGTTGATACGCAGCACGTCCGGGCACCGAACCGGGCTGAGCCGTGCACATGACCCCGCGCCGGGCTCACGTGCAGCTGGTCCAGTACTAGACACCTTCCGGGGGCCACCGCCTCCGCCCTGCGCCCCCTTCTCCGGGCTGGGTGCACGCGGGCGCTGCACGCGGGGGCAGCATGCTCGGCGCCTGGGCTCAGAGGCTTTGCACAAATTAAGACACAGTTTTTGGGGTTTTTTTTCTCCTTATTTTTTGGAGGGGCGGGGGACAACCTTTGCAGGTGAGTGAGGAGGGTACGCAGCCCGGGCATCCCGGGGTGCGGACTGGGGTAGGGGACAGCACCCCCTTCCCACCGGGGCTGCGCGGGAGTCCGGCGGGGAAAGGCGCCGCGAGAGTGGAAATGTACCGGCGGCGGCCGGAGCGGCGGGTGCGCGCTCACGGGGCGACGGCAGGGGGCGTGGCCCTTGTTTACCTTCTCCCAACTCTGTCGGTTCGCTTCCCGCTCCCGGGACCACTCCGCCGTCCTCTGCCCACCGCCTCCGCCCCGAACACTCCGGGTGGTACCTAGGAGGAGTCGGGCAAGTGGCGGACCCCGCTGGGGACACTAGCACCTGACCCCCAAATGAGTGACATTGCAGCCCCCGCCCCCACCGAGCTCTGCAGCAGTCCCTCCGCCGGATCCCCGGCCCCGCCCCCGGCGGTGGCATCTTCCCGGCCTCACCTCCTTCCTCTCCCTCCTCCCTCCTTCCCACCCACTTGCCTGCGCCTGCGGAGCGGCTCCCGCTCGCCTACTCCCGCCTGGGTGCAGACTTGTGGCTCCTCACGGTCCCTTCCCGCCCATGCCCGGGTCCCGAGACACCCCTTTCTCCGGCCCAGGGATGAGCCGGGGTCAGCTGGGCGCCTGGTAGCCGTTCTGCCGGAGGGTGAGGACGTTTGCAGACCCGCAGCGAGGCTTCCCTCTACCTTCCCGGGAGGCCCAGCCCGCCCTACCCGGCCCCCGACCACACACCTCCGCCCTGCCCCCACCCCACCCGGTGCCCGGCCGTCCTTCCCGGACCCCTCCCCCATGGCCCGAACCTCGTCTTGCCCTTCCTTCGGCAAGGCCGGAGCCCCCCGCTGCTACCTCCGGCTCCTCCTCCCTGCTCGGGCGGTCAGAATCACGCCGGCGCGCCCGGAGCCTGCGGTCCCGGGGACCGCCTCCAGGGGCAGGCTGGAGGCGCGCGCAACCCCTCTGCTAATCCCCGTAGCCACTGCATCGGGCCCCGGCACTTTTTTTTTTTAAACCAGCTTGGCGGCAGGCCTCGTGCTGGGGGCGGGGGAGGGGCGCCGGGCTTCTTTATGCCCAAGAGTACAGTACAGTCGCCTTCCCTGGTCTGCAGATTTGCCACCCTCACCCTTGTCCCAAGTATCCCCGGCTCATCTACGGGATCCTAAGATACAAACTTTTAGCCAGAGGCAGTTTGCAGGGGCCAGGAGGAGAGATCCTGCATGTTTCCAGAGCAGTATAGAAAGGGTCGGGGAGGGCGGGGGGTTCCCCTTTTGGAATGGGGAGCCCTCACCTAAAGAGCTGTTAGGCTATTCCCTTAACGTTTGTATTTGCAAACTGAGACCTGAGCTTGCCAGGTACTGTAGGACCTCCTGGGTCCTCCTCCCAGAGTGGCACTGACTCTCCTCACTGGTAAAATTCCCAGTAGGACATTTGGCAGATGGGCCAGGCAGAGAGCTGCCAACCAGGCCTGGCCCTGTTTCCTGGGTTCGCAAGGTGCTGACTTCTTTCTCCCCTCCCCTGATTTCTTTTCTCACCATAGGGCCCCAAGCAAGCACACCGGCCCTCTTGGCCCTCCTGTCCCATCTTCCTCGGGCGGGTTGGGACTCGCAGAACCATCTACTGAGCAGAGGAGGAAAATAACAACAGAGTAACTGTAAGGAGGGAAGGAATGAGTAACAGACCTGACCCAGGCAAGGAGAAGGGCTTTCATGTTTAGGCTCCCCTATTTGCTTTTTAGGTCACAGGCTGCAAAAACAGGCTTTGATCCGAAGTGGGCGAATAATTTATTGAGAAAGTTTGCATGGTAGGGGAAAAAAAAAGATCTTTGTTTGATCTGGAGCCCTCTCAGTGCTGTTGGCTGTTGTTTTGAGTGGAAAAGCATTTGGTTCCTCAGCAGATGCTTCTCAGAGGGAAGTTCTCACCCCAGGCAATAGGACTTAACAGTGAATGTTGGTTTTGAAACTGTTTGGCTAAGGGTCTCCTTAGACTTTTAGAGATGAAGTGTGTAAGGACAGAGTTGTTTGGGGCTCTGGATGCAGCAAATGTTTCCAGAATGTTTTCCCAGCCACATGCTTTCCCTTTCCCCAAATGACCAGTGACATCCATCCAAGAGGCTGTTAGAGATGTCAGCCACTTAGAACTCACAGACATGGGGGAGGGGGCTGTTGCTCCCCAAGGCCCTCTGACCCTGACGCCCCCTCATTGGTGAGGTTATGGGCAGGGGGTTCTGGTTATAACCAGTCTTTTTGTTCAACAAGGAGTTATTTCTCAGTTATGCTACAGGCTGTTGGTTGTATGAGAGGAGACCAGGACATTTAGTGGAGAGGATAACTTTGGCTTGCCATGTCTGGCATCGAGCCCCTTTACCAAGTGCTTTAAATGCCTCCAATCAGAGGCCTCAGCTCAAAGCTTAGGCACTGAGAAGTTGGTCCTGGGCCCGAGGCATGGTTCATCCTCGCATATCCCATTGGAGTTCAGGAAACTCCAACCACAGTGGGACTTGTAGACCTCCTTACAAACTTTAGCCCTTTGACAGTGGAGTTGGCCAGCTTAGGTTCAAATGTGGTTTCCAGCTCTGGTAATGGTGCTTTGGGGCCAGTGGGGTTAATAATGGTTCCTATCTCCAGGTGGGTGTAATAGGTGATGACATTGAAAAAACCTAGGGCTGAGGATGTTGCTGGTGGTGATACATGCAAGGCCGTGTTCAATCCCCAGCACTACAAAAAGGGGAGGGAAAAAAAAGACTTAAGCCCAAAGTGGGGCCTCTGGTAAGCCCTTGATCAGTATTAGCCATTTTACTCTTAATAATGAACTGGGAGAGCCCCAGTGCACTTTGATCTCTCACCTAAAGTCTACAGAGAGCCAACTTCCTTCTCCAGAGAAGAGATGAGAAAGCTCCAACAGGTGCCCTGGAGTGGAAGAATAGGGCTGAGAAGTCACTAAATGATAAAATAGATAGAACCATTTACTCAGGATCCCTTCCGTGGGTCCCCAGGGCTGACCTGCACAGTGCATGTTGGCAGTGTGTTGTAGGGGAGCTGGGATCCCTCTGGGGCACTTGGAATAGCAGGTGGGCAGTGATTTTGATGGGAGAGGGTTCGGGGGAGGGTTAGGAAGCAGATTTGACGATCACAGGCAGCAGCCCTCTGCCCTGTGTGCACAGAATCATTTTTTGTAACTGCGATTACTGTCCCCAAGAAGACGTTAAAGTTAATGAGAGATAGGAAAGAATGGGCCTGTGACCCCCGTTTCAACAGCTTAAGAGTATGTCGTTCTTGTTTTCTGAATGTCTGGCCTTCCCCACACAAAGAGGCTCTGAGGACAGGTTTTCCAGCCGAAATATCATTAAATTGTATTAGCATCTTATTACACACACGCCTTCGTGGTCTGCCTCAGACAGGGAGAGTTTTTGTTTCTCTTTGAAAGATTGTGTCTGGAATGGTAAATTGCCTGCTTGAAAGCCCCCTAGCCCCCCCCCCTTTTTTTTTTCAAGGAGTAGGACCAGATTCTGCTGTGTGTGGTAGCAGGCAGGGCAGACCTGGTGGGCCCTAGAGAAGAGAGACCAGAGGCCAGGGTAGGGTGTTTTAACTGCTCAGGGAGCCACTGCCATAGCAAGCCTGAAAGACCCACTGTTCTCAGGGTCAGCTGGAAGGGCGTTAATGGAGGCCTAGGGTGTTTATTTGAGTTTATTTGTAGAGACATCTTTAAAGGGGCCTGGCACTGGATGGTGGTTTTCCAAGGCCAGAACTTTAGTGGGGGCTAAGACCAATGGCCCATGCTGCCAAGAAAACATCTGCCATCAAATTGCTGCCCTATTACTGAGTTGACATTGGTCATTAGCCAGGAGCCCAACCAAATAAAACCTCCTGGAAAATGTGTAGGGTCAGGATGGGAAAGGAGGACTGTAAAAACAGGCGGGAATCTTGGGCCGGGTGTTTGCTCCTGCCGGCAGCAGGCCGGCCAGCCAGCTGGTCTGTGTGGCCCTGACACGCATGAGGAAGGATGAACCAGAGCGTGTTGGGTACTCCCTATCGTGTGCTGGGTGCATTGTGAGAGCATTGCTGAGGCTCACTTAAGGATCTATCCAGACATGCTATTTACACATGTCTACAGAGGACAGTTGACAGGTAGTTCAACGTATTGATGCTCTGAAGACATAGTAATGGCGTGCCTGATTCTGTAGGTAGGGTAATGGGCAAAAACTGACACAGCATTTAGGCTGAAACCTGAAGGGTGAACAGACAGAAGTGTATAGACCACATAAAGAACATGGCAGACAGGTGGCACTCCTTGTGTCCAGGTCCAGAAGCATGGAGAATCTTTGGTTAGGAAGGGGGAAAAAAAGGAGGCCAGGACCAAGTGTTGGAACTGTAGCTGAGTTGTTTGAGTGCTTGCCTGGTCTGCCTGAGGCATCCTAGGTTTAATCTTCCGTACTGCCAAATGGAGGCCAGAAGTGGATCGCAGTCACTGTTAACTGGTTGAGGTGGGCAGAGGCCAAATTGTGCAGGCTCTTGTGATGAGGAGCTGCAGATTTGAGATTTGACCTTAGATCAGCTGGAAGCCTGAGAAAGAGTGAGTTTGGGCGAGGGGTGCAATATAATTGAACTTAAGCTTTTCAAAATCTCTTCGGGTGCTGTGTGGCGCCTGAATTATGGGGGAGCAGTTTTAAAAGCTAGGAAGAACACAGGTGGGGACCAGGTGAGAGATGAGATACATTTGGACCAATAGGGTGATGATGATGGTAAAGATGAAAAAGTGGGTGTGTTCAGGACTTGCCAGAGGTAAGGCAGGGGATGCACAGAGGCCTTGGGCCGCTGCTCCACTGAGGGCAGTCTGGTCACCCACCTGTGAGAGTTTCCCACCTCTGGGCCCTCATACTAGGCTGGTACCGGAGGTGCAAGTGGGCTAAGATAAATGGCAGAAAAAGGAGACTTTTCTCGCCTGGAGTCTCTCTTATAGATAGCATCTCAGGACCACTTTTTTCTTCCCCTCCCCTCCCCCCGAGAATACGAGTGCCTTGTGTCACTGAGGTTACCTCCCAGAGCAGACCGTATCTGGCGACAGGTTGAAGAAGGGCCGTGGCAGACAGATAACCAGAAGCCAAGCTGATAGAGCAACTCTTCCACCTCCACCTATGTTTGTAGCCTTAGTGTGGTCCTCTTTGTTATGAATGGGCCAGATGATTTATGGGGCAAAGGGCTGCCCCACTGATGGGGGCTACCATTAGTCACTGTGCTTGGCAGAGTGGGGGATCATTGCTCACTCAAGTCTGGGAGTCCTTTGGAGTGGACTTAATTCAAAGGAAAGAAGCTTGCCTCACAAAATAGCAGCTTCCCTCTGAAGCTTGGTTAATATTACAGTTAAGCTACCACAAAGTCTGCCCCCTTAATAACAGCCTCTGACAGGGCAGCTCTGACCCAGGAGAATGTCCCCTGGCTATTCTACCAACGACAGGTTAGACAGTGAGCTGGTTGGAGTAGGTTGTAGGTCTACAGGCTGGTTACTTGTTGGTCTCTGGACAGTAGGACTCGGTCAGCCCTGAGAAGGACACGAGCAGCCTTTACTATGCAGGACCCCTGCCCCATCTTTCCGAGGAGCCAGCCTCTGGTACAACTGTCTACCCTAGCCCAAGGCTGCACCTGTATGATTCAGCCACTTACCGAGAGCTCTGTGCTGCTCTCATTAGACTCTCCAGCTGATTCTAGCCAACAAATGTGTTTAGTTTGGCCCTTTCAGAGTGTTTTTCAAATTCTGACTCAGTTGCCAGATTTTAAATTTGGGAGATGTATGGGAAAATCAGATCTGGTTTACCTCCTCAGAGAAGGTATACGTCTGCCAAGATTCCTGGCCTAGTGAATGATAGGGCTGGGATTTGAAACCAGCATCCTAAATCCACAGCTCCTACTTGCCTTCCTTCTGGACAGGAGATCAGACCCAGGGCCTTGTGAGTGCTAAGCACAGGATTACTACTGAGCTCTACCCTCAGCCCCCAAGCTCCTGTTGTTAGTGCTATGGGAGACCCTGGTTTGGAAGTGCCAAGTCCTCTTCAAATGAGAGATGGAATTCCTGGACAGGGTTGTAGGAGAAATTGGATGGGTACATTTATAGCACCTGTTCCCCTTTTCCTACCGCACCAGTGGCATAACTGGGCAAGATGAGGACTAAAGACAGAGTTCTTTCAAAGTCAGACCCTAGAAGTCACAGAGGGTGATGGCTATGGTTCTGGGCTTGCTATCCACTGCACAGAGGTCATGAAGCCTGAAGGCCAGGAATGGGGTCTTTTGAGTCAAATACAAGCACTCTCTCTTTGTGCAAGTCACTTGACCTCTAGCCTCAGTTTCTCATCTGTAAAAGGGAGGCAGTTGTCATACCCATTCACAACCAAGGGCTGTTCTGAGGGCTCCTGTCAGGTCTTTGGGTCGGGGGTACCACCTCTTACCGTCATGGGCATGATCTTTGCTGTTGTTTTTCCTGCCTTTTGGGTTGCTAGTGCCTGCCAGGTGTTTCAGTCTCAGTCTAGGAAGCACTTACATCTTTGGAACTGGATGATAAGCAAGTAGCTCTGACAGGCCTTCCTCCCATTCTGTGGGGACACCATGGATAAAAGAGGCTTCTAGCTAAGGTTAAATGCAAGTCAAGATGACTTCCTAGTCTGCTCAGATTTGGATAGTCCTCTTGTGTTGATGTTCCAGGGTTTCTTTGGGGCTACAGGAAGATAAGGGCACCTCCCTGGACAGGAACAGGCTGGGGGTAGAGGAGAGTGGGTATTAAGTGGCAGAAGACCTTGTTCTCCATGTCCTTGGCTGTGGGCAAGGAGGGCATTCTAGGACTAACAGGAACATGGTGGGAACTGCCTGGACCAGGTTACTAAACACTCCAGGTGCTCCACTCTAAGGGGCTGATAGCAGGCTCTACCACTCCGGACTCTTGCAAGACCTGAGGAAGGAATGAAGGGATACAGCTTTCAAGGCCAGAGCAGATGCTTTGCACAAAGGAAGCCCAGGGTGACCTTGGGGCTCAGACCTCAGACTCAGGTTTGACTTAGGACAAGGCAAGCCTCCCCGGTATGTAAATGGGCCTGTAGTTTACAGCTCACCTGGCTGTTAGGAGCACAGCACAGTGTGCATAAGGATGAGGACCGTGTAAGGTAGCTGCCTTCAGTAACTAAGGTGATATGGTTGGCATAAAGTAGGTTTGTATTTTAGCTGAGGAAGGACCCACATGCCCCAGTTCCATACCCCGCTGATTTCCACACTCAGAAATGGGTCCTCAGTACTAGCTTGTCCCTTACTTTGATGTCATGGTCTTGGAAGAATCATTCCTATTTCTTCTTCTACCCTGCCCCCCATCTGGCAGGGGGTACCCAGGGGTTGTCTGCCTAGGATGAATGCAGTTTTCTGGTGGGCTTGTTTTGCTGCGTGGGAGCTGGGACTGGGTAATCTGGATCATCACCTTTCATACATACTTTTTTTAGAATTTATTTTTATGTGTATGAGTGTTTTGCCTGCATGTACGTAAGTGCACGCACATCATGCAGTGCCCATGGAGGTCAGAAGAGGGTGTCGGATCCCCTGGAACTAGAGTTACAGACGGTTTTTAGCTGCCATGTGGGTGTTGGGAACCGAACTGGAACGGAACCAGGTTCTGCTCTGCAAAAGCAGCCAAGTGCTCTTAACTGCTGAGCCATCTCTCCAGCCCCATCACTGTCACTTCTCAGTTTGGGCCTCCTGACCTCCCCGCAGGTGTCTCTACATCATTGGGCAGGCTTCTGCTTGTCTGAGGGCTCTGAGCCTAAAAGCGGGAGCTGGAGCCTCCTTGCTCTGCAAGGGAGTGTGGGCAAGTAGATGGTGGTGTAGTTTCCTGAAAAGACTTCAGGATTTCCCTAGGTGTCTGAGGATAATGGCCCTTTCTGCCTTCTGTTGCAGATGGAAGAGAAGAGGCGAAAATATTCCATCAGCAGCGACAACTCCGATACCACTGACAGTAAGACCTTCCCATTGGGGCATGCTCCGGGGACAGTGCTTAAATAAATGGCAGACCCAAAGGCTTGGGAGAGAGGAGGCTGCCCCTTGGTCTCAGCCCAACCCAGGGCCACATGAATGGAAACAATCAAGTCAGGTCCTCTGTTCCTGAGCGTGTCACTGGTCCCTTTATTATGCCCCCCAGTCTCTAGGTCTTGTTCAGGTTGAAATAGATTACCTCCTCTCAGAGCATTTACTTCTTCTGTCTGATGGACCCTTTTAGAAGTCTCTAGAAAATAAACATAAAACCTGTGGCCCTTTATTATAATAATTAAACTCAGTACATGTCATTTCCTAACCAGTGGCAAGCTCTCAGATTGGAAGGTTTATCTTTTGACCACTGCTATATAATCGGCTACAGGCCACAGTCAGGCACACAGTAGGTATTCCATAAATGTTGACTGAAGAAATTAATGAAGAAATCCAGCCTTCATGGGATCTTGGCAATAGAATCTTAGAGGTAGACTTTGATGTGGGTTGGGCATATCAGTGGATACGCAGTAGTGGCAGACAGGCCCTGTTGTCAAGGAGAAAATGACATTTGGGGAGCAGAGAAAGAAGCTAGGTTTGTGTACTCTGGACTCTTCTCCGTGTGGTGTCATGAAGCAGTGGTTCTCTGATGGCCCAGGAAGCCAGGCCTGCCTGGGCCTGTTGGAGTAAGGTGTTCGTCTGCCATGGGTAGGAAGTTGGGCATGGTGCCAGGAAGATCCCACTTTGCCATTATTACTTTGGAGGCTCTGCTAAGGAGGAGGTCACACTACTGAGGAGGCTGAACCTGGGGCCTGTATCCTTAGACCTGGTGAACTAGTGGCATTACATTCACTGTCCTCTGGGTTTGGCTCTGATGTGCAGCCCACCTTGCCCCCAACCCTTTCCATCATCCCTGCAGGAAGGGATCATAGCATCTAGCCTTCTACAGTCATAGCGTGCTGCATGTGGCCTGGTTTAGTAAAACAGCGGCTTCCACTCCTAACAGTGCAGGAGATAGGCAAGCACCTGTGAGGTGGGGTCATCTGGTCCTGGAGCAGCAGCAGGCTGTGGCCAGACTGGGACTGACTCCCTTCCCATCAGTCCCCAGCCCTGGGCCCACCCATGGCCTGATCTGTGTGCATCAAAAACCATGGGTCTCTCTGGCCCTTCTCAATGAGGCCATTGCTCTATAGTCTAGCAAGGACCTTATGCCCTGCAGTTATCATGGCTAGTGTTTATTGAGGAAACCCTGTATATCGGGGCCAGTCCTAGGACTGTAGACGTGGTATCCTTTAATCTTTGAAGACAGTTCATCTCTTGCCCCATTAGTCTGCTTCATGGTACTATAATGAAATACATGGATAATTTGCTTATAAAAGCAAATGTTTACTTAGCTTACAGTTTCAGATTTCAGTCCACAATACTGTTTGGCCTCAGTGACCTGGGGGGGGGCAGAGAGAGAGAGAGAGAGAGAGAGAGAGAGAGAGAGAGAGAGAGAGAGAGGGGGGAGAGAGACCCATGACACCCCACACACCACACA